ACACTGACAGGCAGAAGGAACTGAGTCTCTTTAATCTGAAGGAAATGTACTACAATGACGTTATGACAGAGACTCACTGACATACTCAGTCACTGATAGACACACAACTCTTATGTACTGTAGGCATGTCTAAGAAGATGAAAAGCAATGTTTAGACAAGTCAGTATCTATACTGTTGCAAGTATTTTCTCTTGTGTGATGTACAGTACAGTATCTTCACCTCTCAGGATCAGGCCTGGGGGAATGCTGGAGCAGCTCTGGTTATTGAGGTTATCTGTTCTTGCCCCTGGGAGAGCTCTGATCCTGGAGAGAGTGGAGTGAGATTGAAGACACTCACCTGTCACTGTCAGATTCATTCCTGGTCCTGGGACTGCGATCTCACTGGAGGGACCTGGTCTGTACTTGTCACAGTAATAGACCCCAGAGTCCCCCAGGGTCAGGTTGTCTATTCTGATGGACCTGTCTGTTAGATGGTTCTTTAATATAAAGGACACGCGGGGGTCACTGGCCCCACCTCCTGTATTGAAGAAGGGCTGTCTGCCTCTGCCTGTGTCTCTGCTCCACCTCACTGCTCCAACATTTGTATTACGGACAGTACAGTTGAGAGTGACCGACTGCCCCTCAGTCCCATTGACCAGACTCGGGACCTGAGTGATCACACCTTCACCCATCACAGCTCCTGGAAGACAGCGCTGGTCTCCTGTCAGTGTCAGCTGACAGACAGCAGGAGGCGCACTTTTCCCTATAGTTCAGAGAATACAGTAAGTCAGTATTCACCTGAGCTTCAACAGATCTTTTTTAATCAACCTGTCCTTAATTACTCAGTATGCCATTTCTGTTTCTACTGGCATCTGTGAATCTGTATTAAAACTCAAAAAGATATCATTGATGGCAATAATTACAATAATAGTAGAACCTTTCACCATGAAGGATCCTAAAGATCTCCACACACAGTACAGACCTACTTCTGCCACACAGATCAGCCCCACTGCACACAGATCAGGGCAGCAGAGAGAAACTGCTGCACCAGGGGGGTTATGGGTGATCTGGAGTACTGGACTTCACCCAGTGAAGTGACACACAGCAGCCCCACTGCTCACAGATCAGGGCAGCAGAGAGAAACTGCTGCATCAGGGGGATTGTGGGTGATTACAGTGAGCCCTGAGGGGGTTCTGACAGGACACCAGGGCCATCACCCCTAATTTTAGGATAAGATTTTAATGAGCAACCTGTCAGGACTTCAGTCTCACTGGAAGAACAGTGCCTCCTACAGGACAATGCCTGTGATCTCCACACTGGAGAAGATGGCTTGGGCATTCTGGGAAGAGTGCCATCTGCTGAGGGCAGGAGAAGAGCACATGCCACCGGTCTCCACCTGCGATCGGCAGGACGAGAGGTGTGTGGGTCAGCTGACTGCAGCCTACAGGCAGAGGGTTGTGTCTGGTTCCTCAAGTCTTTACGGCTTGGCCAGAGATAACCCTGCTGCAACACGGCTGACATGTAAAATAAGCAAGTCCAGCTGGAGCTCTGGGCCACTGGACTCACAGGTGTGAACTCCTTGGTGAACTGACTTCACTGTTGCAGTACCTGCGGGGCTCGGAGCAGCTCATTCAAGATCATGCCGATCAGATTTGCAATGTGATTATAGACCAGGCCCTGTCGTTAACAGCTATTATAGTGAGAGAAAGGAAGAGGACCAGAGTGATGGAACAGCTTCGTACCTCTGTACCTGGGCAATAGAATAGAGAGCAAACCCCCTCCCACTCCTGTCTCCTCACTCTCCTGTCTC